ACTTCATACAATGGTCAAGCACAATAAGGGGAAGTGCAGTGCACAAGAACCATAACTCCATCTTGACTAATTACAGAGTTATTGCCCTTTGTTTCTTTTCCATTGCTTTCTTTTGTCCGGACCATAACTTGAAGACTTATTGTTGGAATTCATTATAACTTCATACAATGGTCAAGCACATTGAGAGGAAGTGCTGTGCATATGAACCATAACTCCATCTTGACTTATTACAGAGTTACTGCCCTTTGTTACTTTTCCTTGTCCACAGCATGACTTGAAAACTACTGCTTGGAATTCAAAACAACTTCATACAATGGTCAAGCACAATAAGGGGAAGTGCAGTGCACAAGAACCATAACTCCATCTTGACTAATTACAGAGTTATTGCCCTTTGTTACTTTTCCTTGTCCAGAGCATAACTTGAAAACTGCTGTTTGGAATTCAGTACAACTTCATACAGTTGTCAAGGACATTAAAAGGAAGTGCAGTGCACAAGAGCCATAACTCCATTTTGACAAAATACAGAGTTACTGCCCTTTGATACTTTTCCTTGTCCGGAGCATAACTTAAAACGTACTGGTTGGAATTCAAAACAACTTCATACAATGGTCAAGCACAATAAGAGGAAGTGCAGTGCACAAGAACTATAACTCTATCTTCAGTATTTATAGACTTATTGCCCTTTGTTCTTTTTCTTTGTCTTTCTGGACTTATTACACAGTAATTCAATTAAACTTCATCAATGGCCAACCACATTCAAAGGAAATGCAACATATATGAACAACAATTATCTTTAATTGCCCACAACCATAACTCTATGTTTCAATTCTTTTACAAGGTAATTCTGTTACTAGTAACATCCTCATTTCCGAAGCAGACTTGTGGGGGTATTAATCACATTTAGTGATAGTTCTAGTTAATCATACTTTTTTAGAAAAAAAGTTTTTTCTTCCTCCTTACTTCCTTCTTAAAGGACACAGTCTGGTAAATAAAATGTGTGAGCTATTTTCATCCACAGATATGGAAAAAGTACAGGACAGATAATTAATCATACTTTTTTCAGAAAAAAAGTTTTTTCTTCCTCCTTACTTCCTTCTTAAAGGACACAGTCTGGTAAATAAAATGTGTGGGCTATTTTCATCCACAGATATGGAAAAAGTACAAGACAGATAATTAATCATACTTTTTTAGAAAAAAAGTTTTTTCTTCCTCCTTACTTCCTTCTTAAAGGACACAGTTTTTGGTCTCCTTAATTGAATCTGGTAAATAAAATGTGTGAGCTATTTTCATCCACAGATATGGCAAAAGTACAGGACAATAATTAATCATACTTTTTAGCTCGACTATTCGATAAGAATAAGTAGAGCTATTGCAGTCACCCGAGCGTCGGCGTCGGCGTCGGCGTAACCACTTATGTTAAAGTTTTTGTAATAGTTCAAATATTTTCAAAGTCCATAGACATATGGCTTTGAAACTTTGCACACTTGTTCACCATCATGAACCCAACCTGTAGACAGGAGGAGGTAACTCTATCAAGCATTTTGACAGAATTATGCCCCTTTTTCGACTTAGAATTTACGTTAAAGTTTTTGTAATAGTTCAAATATTTTCAAAGTCCATTGACATATGGCTTTGAAACTTTGCACACTTGTTCACCATCATGACCCCAACCTGTAGACAGGAGGAGGTAACTCTATCAAGCATTTTGACAGAATTATGCCCCTTTTTCGACTTAGAATTTACGTTAAAGTTTTTGTAATAGTTCAAATATTTTCAAAGTCCATTGACATATGGCTTTGAAACTTTGCACACTTGTTCACCATCATGACCCCAACTTGTAAACAGGAGGAGGTAACTCTATCAAGCATTTTTTTTACTATCAAGCACTAAGAATAGTCGAGCGTTGCTGTCCTACCGACAGCTCTTGTTTAGAAAAAAAATTTTTTCTTCCTCCTTACTTCCTTCTTAAAGGACACATAGTTTTTGGTCTCCTTAATTGAATCTGGTAAATAAAATGTGTGAGCTATTTTCATCCACAGATATGGAAAAAGTACAGGACAGATAATTAATCATACTTTTTAGCTCGACTATTCGATAAGAATAAGTAGAGCTATTGCAGTCACCCGAGCGTCGGCGTAACCACTTATGTTAAAGTTTTTGTAATAGTTCAAATATTTTCAAGGTCCATTGACATATGGCTTTGAAACTTTGCACACTTGTTCACCATCATGACCCCCAACCTGTAGACAGGAGAAGGTAACTCTATCAAGCATTTTGACAGAATTATGCCCCTTTTTCGACTTAGAATTTACGTTAAAGTTTTTGTAATAGTTCAAATATTTTCAAAGTACATTGACATATGGCTTTGAAACTTTGCACACTTGTTCACCATCATGACCCCAACCTGTAGACAGGAGGAGGTAACTCTATCAAGCATTTTGACAGAGTTATGCCCCTTTTTGAGTTAGAATTTACGTTAAAGTTTTTGTAATAGTTCAAATATTTTCAAAGTCAATTGACATATGGCTTTGAAACTTTGCACACTTGTTCACCATCATGACCCCAACCTGTAGACAGGAGGAGGTAACTCTATCAAGCATTTTGACAGAATTATGCCCCTTTTTCGACTTAGAATTTATGTTAAAGTTTTTGTAATAGTTCAAATATTTTCAAAGTCCATAGACATATGGCTTTGAAACTTTGCACACTTGTTCACCATCATGACCCCAACCTGTAGACAGGAGAAGGTAACTCTATCAAGCATTTTGACAGAATTATGCCCCTTTTTCGACTTAGAATTTACGTTAAAGTTTTTGTAATAGTTCAAATATTTTCAAAGTCCATAGACATATGGCTTTGAAACTTTGCACACTTGTTCACCATCATGACCCCAACCTGTAAACAGGAGGAGGTAGCTGTATCAAGCATTTTTTTTACTATCAAGCACTAAGAATAGTCGAGCGTTGCTGTCCTACCGACAGCTCTTGTTTAGAAAAAAAGTTTTTTCTTCCTCCTTACTTTCTTCTTATAAAAGGACACAGTTTTTGGTCTCCTTAATTGAATCTGGTAAATAAAATGTGTGAGCTATTTTCATCCACAGATATGGAAAAAGTACAGGACAGATAATTAATCATACTTTTTTAGAAAAAAAGTTTTTTCTTCCTCCTTACTTCCTTCTTAAAGGACACAGTTTTTGGTCTCCTTAATTGAATCTGGTAAATAAAATGTGTGACCACAGATATGGAGAAACCTTTTAATCTAGGCGACAATCCCATGAATATTTCCCTAGGAAAACATTTCTAAATATTTTCCAAATATAGAAATAGAAAATCCACTTATTGTAATTTGTACTTTTTGTTCTCCTTATACAGTCATGAACATGTAAGTTCAGCTATATATTAAAGGAACTCCACTGAGGTCCAAAAGCTTACAAAGATAAAATTTGAATCAACTGGGTGACTTATAACAGACAGATATGCAAAAGAGTATCAGAAATAAATTAAAAATCACATATTTGTGGCATTCATATGAAATTCTGGAAAAACTGTCTAGACCTAAATCAAATGGAACATAAATCTTGAAAGAAATAATTTCAGTCCTGTCATGTCAAAAAACCAAAGTGATACATTGTACCCCTTTAAATAAATATTTTATTAAAGAGGAGTAAATATTATAGGTTTTATTTGATCCTAATGGGTAAAATCTTATCTTCTTATGAAAGATTTGTTTACTGTCAGGTATAAATGAAATAGATTAAAAGCTTTAAAATTGTTCATGTTTTTTGTTGCTATTTATGTAAAATTAAGATTTTAGAATATCTGTACGTCTTATTATTCAGTAGGGTTTATTTTAAAGTGTTTGTACAAAATAGACAAGTACTCTAAGGAAGGTTGTTTATTATTTTACAAGTCTTTTAACTTTATATAATTTGGAGTTTATTTGTTGAAAGTTTTTATTGTAAAAAAACTCTGTTGAGAACATGATTATTGATATATAATTGTGACAGTTGCATTTTTTTGTTTTCTTTGAATAGTTTCGCTGTACTATTTTGTTTGGATCTGTGAAGACTGTTAATACATACCGGTAATTTCTGTTTTGTTATGGAATAAAAGCATTAGAGTCGGAAAATGTAGGGGTTGAAAAGAAATAGGTAGAAAACGTATGAATATTTCATAACTGTTTTGTATTTTTGTATAAAAAACAAAACTAGTTTATGATATTTGAGTAGATTTAAAAGCTTTTTAGATGTTAACAAGGTAAAAGATTTATAAATTTTTCAAGAGCTATCGACAAGTTTTATAGGGCGCAATAAATTAGATTTCAACGAGAATATTTTCTATTACTTGTTTTTTTAACGTACTTAAGTAGCCTTTACTGTATTATGTTATAAATCTTTTTCACTGTCAAAGTCTGTAGCAAAAATTCTTTATTGAAACTGCCAAAAATAGAAAGAATTTTGTTCATTTTGGCGGAGTTCCTGGTATCCGAAGCAAAATGGAACGTAAGCTCAAGGTTATGTAAAATGCATACATGTGAAATTTTTTCAATGTTCAAGAGAGAATTTACTTCAAAGAGAGGGAGACTTTTTAATTGACAAATAGACATAGAAGGAAATTTTGAAATGAAAAAGAGGGACATTTATTTAAAAAAAACAAAAAAACACTTCTTATTCTAAGAAAAATATTTGAAATTTGACATGTGAAAGGGGGAGTCTCTCGCTTAAATAGGGATAGTTAACATGTATGTGAACGTAATTTGAGAAATGTGTACGAAAACGGCTGAAATTTTTTCAAGATTTCAGAAAAGCAGATCAAAATCGCCACACACAAAAGGTCAAATAGGTTATAACTGGAAAGAAATCTTAATTATGTTTATAATTTCAAATTTGACTGAAATTTCAGACAAGCAGAACAAAATTGCCACACACAAAATGACATATTGGCATTATATTGTTTTTAACTGGAAAGAAACTTTAATGTTTATAATTTTGTTAATTTCAGAATTTTTAAAAGGTATTCAACATGACAGAAAGTTGACGCAAATGGGAGGTTAGTCCCTCCCCCTTTCCCCTTTCTGTCCCCACCCACTGAAATAAACACAAAGAATCATGGGAGATCAAGGAACGGGCAAGTTGACGGCAAGCCTGGAAGATCTCTCGCTGAAGAAGCAGCTTCCACTACGTCAACAGGTAAAAAGTTATAGACGATTTCCTTTATCGTGTACTTGTTCAACAGATTATACATGTATATTTTATTGTCAGCTTATTACTATGCCATTTTACTAGTCATATTTTGAAATATTGTGGGTAATAACTAATATTGATATGAATTTAATAGCCTTGCATAAATAAATTGAAATGCTGTCTGTTCTTATTTGATGATTTTGGAAAGAAACTTATTTGGTAAACAACAGTTGATCCGTAAATGCCCTCAGTGTATATATGGACTTTTGTCTGCAATAAATTTTAGTTTTGAACTTTAAAGTTAAAAAGGTGAGATGGAATTTTTTGAGTTATTCTCTACTTTACGGCTACTTTTCAATGATTTTTTTCAGTTTTCCGTACATTTATACATATGTCATGTAATTTATACAAATGTCATGTATTTCTGATGTGTTTAATTTTGTTTTTTAAATGTCACCATTTACATTAATTTATAAAATGAATCTTTTTTAGAAAAGAGAAATAAGAAACTTATCAGTTCATTGAACGATCATTAAAATGTTTTTTTTTCAGGCCCAGAAACCCATGTTAAAATACAGCAACAATGCCATCAAACCAGTACAGTTGTTTAATCACGCTGACTTGATGTCAATACGCAGCAATGCCGAAGCGGCCCGTAACGCATACAGTAGTCTAAGTAACGCTTCCACGACCAGTACCATGTCAACTCCATTCCGATCCAGTATTAAACCAGCTCCCAGCCCACAAATGTTACTGCAACCAGCGACAGGTTTGTTCACCTCTTATAACCTTACCACATATTATAATCTTTAACCTGTTAAATTTCTTAAGTGGACTTGTTACCATTTTGGAACTGTCCATTATAAATTTTAGGGATATCAAGATGAAAATTGAAAGTTACTCGGCCAGCAGTATAAAGTTTGGTCATGCTTTACTAAAGTGCAGATAGCAGGCTGGCCTGGCTCTATTCTAGGGGCAAAGGCTAATTATCACTTACGGTTCCAGCATGTTAAGGGTTAAAGAATTATACAGTATGAATTTTATTCTCAATACCATTGCTAAGAAAGTTTCATTGTGACATAGTTGATTTATAAACAAGGGAAGATCTGTTTAAGCATTTTGATTGTTGAATATAGTGTTCCATTTAAGTTAACAAGAAATCTTTCTAAAAAGCTGGTTTCCAGTTATATGTTTCCATTTACAAGAAAATTAAATGCAAAAACAATAAATTTGTACCGTATCTATCATGTGCAATTTTGACAATAAAAGTTTGCCAATATCTATTTATTTGTTGAGGTTATTCAATTACAGTATTGCATTTAATATATATATATATATTTCAATAAAGTTGTAATATTTAAGCAATAAAACTTTGAATGTATTTCTTTTTAAAACATTAACAAAATTTTGTTGTTTTTGTGTTAGGTGCAAATGGACATCAAGCCAATTCCACTTCCTCTGGCCCAGTCAAAACTTCCCCTACTAAAGGGCATTCAAATCCATATGCACGACCTCTAAGTGCCAAGGACATCGTAAGTGATCTTCAACACCAGCAGAAGATTAAAAAGACCCCAAGCTCCACTCAGACTCAATCTGGGCCCGGCTCTATGTACACAAGTGGCGGGTCGGGAACCCCTATGTTTGGATTTCCAGTGAATGCATTCATGAGACCTCAAAGTGCTTTAAGGAAGGAAAATTCTGCTCAAAGTACTAGTACCAAGTCTATGTCCGATTCTAAAAACAGCATTAATTCACAAAGTTCTAGTGCGAAATCGAGTGTCGCTGATGGAAGTCCAAATAAGACTGGTTCCAAAGTCAGCCCTAAAAAGGTTATTCCGCCCACTAGACTGGAACGAGAGACAGATTTAAGCCAGACTGGTTTAGCAAACTCTAATTCTGGTTCCCAGACCATGAAAAACCAGTTTGGGCAAGCTAAGCCGGCTGCAAGTATGAGCTCTGAAAGAGTGAAACAGAGCCCTGAGAAAGCAAATGTTGTTAATAATAATACATCTAGTCCGTCCAAAGTAACTGCTGCTTCACAAACTCCTAATAGTGCTATTGCTAAAATGAACGACCCCTCAAGTGGTGAGGGTGTGAAAAAAGTGTTAAATTCTAAAACTGAAGTTTCGACCCAATCTAAGCCTATTGTTTATGCAAGACCTGTGTCATCACTGCCAAGGCCTGGTTCGGCCGCATCATCTGGAACACCAGACTCCCAGACCAAGGTTCGAAATCCTAGCTACACGCCAACCAAGCCGTATCATGAAGTAAATAATCCGTCCTCGAAACCGCCAATTTCGGCTGTGACGAAAGTGCAGCAGACGACAGAAACTGTTATAAGTGTTAAGGCTGATCCACCTAGGGGAAATACATACAAGGCTCCTACGAACATTACTAAAATGAACGATTTGAAACAATCCAGTGCAAACCAGAGTGGCAGTAGTTCAAAAGAATCGAGTGCTAGCTCTGGAACAATATATTACAGGAAGGAATCAAAGGCAGATGTTATGATTCATGAGCAGCGACCTCCAGCGGTAGGGGCACCTGCAAGACCTCTTAAAGGTGCAGAGAAGGGGTCAAGGACAAATTTGACATCAGGATCAGAGTTGGACGAGGGCGCTGATGATGAGTCAGAAGTTCCGTCAGGGTATGTAACTCTTATTATGAGAAAAAATAAGGTTCAGTTACTAAATTAGCATAAAATGCAAGTCTTATCAAAGTTTTGCAAAGGTGTCTGTTGGAATCAAGATTAAAATAATGTACAAGTAAGTAAATTATTAAAGACAATTTTATACAGAATTTTTGTCATTGACTGATATAGGGCTTTTGAAAAGACTATATATTTGCATTGAATTGCTTTCTTGATTACAAATTGATTGAACATAAATTTCTTTCTTTAAACTAACTTGTGAAGAGAATAAGAATACATATAAATAAGAAAAAAAAATTAATTATTAATAAATCAATACATAGTAGTAAATAAATAAAAAATTTTGTTCCCTTCTTGGGGGAGGGGGGTCATATAGATATACCCATGTCCATCTATTAAGATTTTATGTCCCCTACTTAGTGAATGGGTGACATAAAGATATGCCCATGTCCTTCTTTATACTGCCTATCAGCAAACAGACAAAACGGTGGAATGACACAGCAAACAGACAAAACGGTGGAATGCCACTGGGGGCATCTGTGAAACATTTCTAGTTTCTCTTGTTTATATCCTTTAACACTGGGAATTTAAAATCCACAAGGGATCTCATGCTTAAAATGTTTCGTTCTTGCGTTGTGTACATGAATATGATTATTTATAGGGAGCGTATGCCCGGAGACGGCGAGGCGAGCGTCGAAGACGACGAGGATTATGATGACTACGATGATGAAGATATGGTAGATGATTTAGATGATGACTGTATAGGAGGATCTGACGGTAAGCCAGAGATTTTTCTCACTTGATTGGGACAGGAAAGAGGCGTTAGTCTCTTGATTTTTGGAAAAATTATCTCTAAAATAGCTTTTTTAGGATGTAAAATAGCTGGGGTATGTTCAGATTTTTTTTAAGAAAACTGCATGATTTAAAAGATTTCAATTGGGAAGAGGCCTTTTATATGCCTCTGTTATATAAGGTGAAAAATCACTGTAATTTGAATGTTAAGTTCGGTTCCAAACCACTTTTTCGTATTATTTGCGTGTTTTGGTTGATAGTCATGTGACCAGCAGATGATTGTAACATAATTAAGGTGGTAAAGGTATACTGTTGAATACATGTAGTAGGACTGGGTATGATGAGTAAACTGTACAGATTAATTGGGCATGGCATTTATTTTCATTTGATAGTATTCCAGTATTTCGGTTAAATCATAGTAGGGTATGATAAGTAAACTGTACAGGTTGGTATGGCATGGCATTTCCTTTAGAACCAGTACTTTGGTAGTATTCCGGTAAAATTGTAGTTGTAACAATATTTTACAGTATGTTGTAATACAGTTATATACTTCTGTTAGGTACCAATTAATTGATTTGGGGTTGGTTTTTTTTTTTGCAATTTGCTACTTTAGTTTTGGTTTGTTATGTTAAATATACTCAAAAAGACTCATTTAAAAATGTGAAAATTTTAAAGTCAAAAGCGAAATAACCAGTAAATAACATTATAATTTATGAAAGAAGTTTTGTTTTTTCCCAAGCTTCCAGAAGGCCTAAAATTAGATAAGAGATTTTGATATTTGTAGCTCAGAGTGCTTGATTTGTGATGTTTATTATTATGTGTGTTATTGTCTTCTACTATATACGTCATATTCCAATCTTCAGGAGAATCTGACGGATATTCCTTCACTAGCAGTAGTATGTCACTAATGTCACGACGATCATCATCTGCTCATCGTCTGAAGGCTCGCGCATTCAGTGCGACAGGAAGTGACATAGGATCGGTCAGTCGACCTCAGACAGCCTCGCCGGACAGGACAGTAAAGCCACCACTTATCCACAGCCATTTTCCTAACATTCCGCCTGTCGTTACATTTGTTGCCGAGGGGGATAAAGGTGAAATGTCTTTTATGTGTTCTTTATTGATTTAAATTTATGATTGTCGGGTGACAATGCATTTTTCCAACCTCTGCCATAATTGGTATCCAAATTAACTTTATTTCTCTCACACTTCATTTAAAGTTAACAGCTTGAAAAAACATTTATATAATTTTCATCATAAAAAGCAGATTAATAATTTCAATATTCCAGATTCAAAGCTTACTGAATTGGAAAAAAGGTTCTTAAAATATACACGTGATTGTAAATATTGTACTTGCAGTTGAACAGCTGCCTTGGGATTACAGGAAGTTTTTAAAGTGGCGATTGAGTCCGATCACTCCGAATGTCGTTAAACACTGCCTTGCTAGGTCTGGATTTAGAATAACTAAACGTAAGTTTTGTTTGTTTGTTTGTTTTGGGTTTTACGTCACACCAACACAGTATAGGTCATTCGGCGACATTCCAGCTTTACTGGTGGAGGAAGACCTCAGGTGCCCCTCCGTGCATTATTTCAGGCACAAATGGGCACCTGAGTAGAACCACCAACGTTCCGTAAGCTAGCTGGATAGCTTCCTCACATGAAAGAATCCAAAGTTCCTGTCGGGATTCGAACCCACAGCGGTGAGGGGCAAGTGGTATGAAGTCCACGACCTTAACCACTCGGCCACGGACGCCCCCTTAAATGTAAGTAGCAGCCTTATACCAAAGCTGGCTATGTTTCTTTTCCGTTTTATTGATAAATTGTTTTATTTTTTTTTTAAAGAGTAAAGAAAAAAAAAAAGTGATGCCTTGATGCATCTCTGAAATCACCTTTTATTTTGAAGATTTATGTCCTAAAGATGGCCTAAGGGAGCGGGGGCCTAGTTGTTAAAGTATCTGCCTCTAAACCCAAAGATCACGGATTTGAGCCCTACTTGGGTCACAACCATGTTTCTTCATTTGACACCAGTACTGTTTGGTTTCAGGAAGCAGACTCGAAAGTGATTGATACATGTACAAGTTGCAAGACCTTGTCACAATCAAGGTTAAATAAATATGTTTAAACCAAAGATCATTTCTCCATATCTTGAAAATATACTAAAATAAAGTGAGAAATCAGCTCAGTTTCAACTCTAAAAATTTGTACTATATTACTTGTTAGTATAATTATAAGGTCACAAAATCTGTATGCAAAGCGTACAAATTCAGATTTGCCCTAAATAATTAAAAAGTGTGAACTTTTTGAAAATATTTTGTATATTTCTTTATGTAGGTAACCATGATTGGTTAGGCTGCTGGGGTAAACATATGAAATCTCCAGGTTTCAAAGCTCTCAGGGAATACCAGAAGGTAGGCACATATTTTCCATGATTTTGTTTATTATTTTTACAAAATTAAATATATAATTCACAATTTCTGTAAGAAGCTTTGTAACATTCTTTATTGAATCAATATTCGCAACTTAAACATCAGGTCAACTGTTAATAAATCAACTCTGTCTTTCTTTGTTTTTCCCACTTTAATTAGAGGAATGATGGCAAGGACCCCTGGGGAGTGGAAAATTGTGTTGCAGATGTGAAAAAAGGGGAAATTTACAAACAAATCGGACAGTCCATTTTATGTTTAACTGTGAATTGCAAACTACAATTACCCTCTCTATCCCCCACACTTTGGCTTTGAAATGGGTTTTAAATAAGAAATTTTTTTAAATGTTGGGTTTATTTAGAAATAGGGGGAAAATATATATTCATTTTTGACAGGGGAATGGGCTGAATTTCAGTCCCAAATATTCTCTAAATAGCACTGCAACTATACATGGAGAATCTCAATTTGATATCAAGATAGAATGTACTCTTTTGTTACTGTGTAGAAATGACATGAACTCTCTTGCTTCCTTTTATAAATAAATTTAAAATTCAAAACAAAGACAGAAAAAAGTATGGAAAAGATGTGAACAAAATTTATATATTTTTGTTTTTCAGTTAAACCATTTCCCAGGATCATTTCAAATAGGTCGTAAAGATCGCCTATGGAGGAACTTGTCCAAGATGCAGGTCCATTTTGGCAAGAAAGAATTTGGGTTTTTCCCACAGACCTATTGTCTTCCGATGGATGCTAAACTTCTGAAACGTGCATTTGAAGATGGTGGACCAAAACAGAAATGGATTATTAAGCCTGTAAGATATAATGCTAGACAGGGCTTCAGTAACCGAAATTTAGGAGTCATTTACTTCGTGATTTTGGCTTGTGACTTCTAAAATGTAATGCTTTTTTTTCTTTATAATGTGACTTCCAATGTCAGACATTTTGCAGTGTCTGACATCCAAATTTTGGAAGTTAATAGAAGTACTGGCTAGGTATATTTTCTTATAAAATTATGTCCTTACATTATTTCTTCTAAGCAGAGCCTTTATTTTGTTAGGGATTTCAACCAAACTTCCAAAGAATTATCCTAGTGCATATATTTAGAAGTTAAAAATGATTGGATAACATTCTGCTGAATTGTGGCCCTTTGTTCCCCCCCCCCCCCCCCCACAACATCTTCAGAAAACATGGTTCTGTGACAATTTCCTGTCCCGTTTTATATTAAGGATATAAATATTGTACAGTAAAATGTATGAAAATTTGATATTCATTTTAAGAATTCAATTTATTTTGTTTCAAAAATCACTGCAATTTACAATTAAAACAACAGGCCATTCTGTCTACATAACCAATTCTTGTTCTGAGGTTAGATACAGTGTATGAAAAGCTTATATTATTATTTTCTTTTCGTTATTTATTCTGTGATTCACAAATTTTTCACATGATTTATTCATTTTGCAGCCTGCATCGGCCAGAGGTATTGGGATCAAAGTCATCAATAAAATCACTCAGGTACCAAAGAAACGTCCAGTCATTGTTCAAAGGTAAGCATACATTAACATGGACAAACTTTTGTAGGAGAATTTCTTCAGTAATGCTTTAAAGTGCTGTATTTGTGACGGATTGGCCGTCTTTTCATTTTGGAATGGTCCATTCAAAGTTAAAGGGATTTCAGTACTAAAATACAATTATTGATTATGGGTTATAGTCAAACTGCTTGGAGGTGCATGCTGGCCTTGGTGATGTTTAAACACTTTGATTTTCAGCAGGTTAATATTTAAATAAAAATCACAACAACAGCCCAAAATTTGATATCAAGGTGTAACCCCCATTGGGAAGAAACAATTTCTTTATGAGTTGAAATCAATTTCATCATGTACTTCAAGCAATAAATTTATTAATAAATTTTTAATATCCATGAGCTAATGTTAAAGTATTCATTTAAGGTCCATTTAATACACTGAATATTAAATTAGTGCATAAATCAGTTGGTAAAGCCAGGTTTCACTATTATACAATATTTTTTCCCCCGGCATTTTCAGATATTTAGGTCGGCCTTATTTAATCAATGACAGCAAATTTGATCTACGTATATACGTATATGTGAGTTCGTATGACCCTCTCAGACTGTACGTGTTTGAAGATGGATTAGCCAGATTTGCATCTACGAAGTAAGTCACATTTTCAGGTGTTATTTCTGTGAACCATTAACATGATAAATATCTAAAATAGACTTGTCTATCTTACCATCTAGACAAAACCCTTCATTATTTTAAGGAAAATTTCAGATTATATAATGACTGAATAGCAAACAGTGCAGACCATGATTTGATGGCACAAAATGTGCTGGCTGATACTGGTCTGCACAGGTCGTATGGGTGGAATCTGTTGCCATTAGCAAGCTAAAGTTTATAGTTTTATGCTTTTCAAGTAAAAGATGCTGTTTGTATTCAGTGATTTACAGCTTATATAACAGATTCGATAAAAGGCCTCTTCCTAATTCAAAGTTTCTTAACATTATGCAGTTTTCCCAAAAATCTGAACTTAAACCTACTTTTTTTACTTCCCAAATTAGCAATTTTAGCACAAAAAAAAACAACAACAAAAAAACAAAACAAAAAAAAACCAAAATCAAGAGGCTAAGGCCTCTTCCCAATTAAGTGAGAAAAATCACTGGTATTGAAAGTTTAGTTTGTAACTGTTGTAATTAAGCGATAAATAAGTAAAAGGGGGTATGGGCGAGGTCCATACTCTCAGTGCCTGGAAGGGCACGTGGACCCTCATTATCCTTAGAAATCTAGAATACAATTGGGGGTTGGGGGGGATCAAGGTTATCCCTTTACCATTGAAGCTGGGAGATCCCTATCTGACTTTTACAGTGTTATTTTTACAGACTTACATTCCGTTCAAAAAAATTGTTAAGAAACTCAATGTCAACGTTTAGAACTGTCCACTATTTAAGGTGATGATGTGCAAGCGGTCGCATAGCTCAGTTGGTAGAGCTAAAGAACAGTATTCCAAGGGTCCGGTCAGACTGCCAATTTTCTCACCCTGTGACATTTGGCACCCAACGGGGAACCATGACTGAATATAGCTCTGTAACCCTGAGAAATTTGGGGCAGAATTTCAATATAGTGGAGAATATGTCATGGTTCAGAACTGTTCACTATTTATGGGAGAAGATGTGTAAGCGGCCTTACAGCTCAGTTGGTAGAGCTGCAGAACAATATTCGGACCCTGGTTGGAGTCGTGGTCAGGCTGCACATTTTACTCACCCTGTGACATCAAGAATTGATACAATTGCGTTTTGAATTTTCAGGTATTCCAACTCCATGAAACATCTAGCCAACAAGTTCATGCATCTTACAAACTACAGTGTAAATAAAAAGAATGCAGACTACCAGGCTAATGCTGATGATACAGTGTGTCAAGGTCATAAATGGTAGGTTGCAAGGGGTATAAAATAGATTTTTTTTGTTACAAATTGTACGCATGTTTTTGCATTAAAGCTGGCATAATTTTCATAATACACTTTGATTGCTTAATAATAACTAAATATATGTTAAAGGGTTCTATTCTATATGTAACTGAATGCAACATGTTAGACCTGCAAGTGTTATGTTACAGAAAAATTCCTACATTTCCCAAGATTTTCCTCCTTACATTTTCTTCAGATTTTGTTCCTTTTTTAGCTCACCTGAGCATGCTCAGGGTGAGCTTTAGGATCGATGATTGTCCGTCGTCCGTCCGTCGTCCGTCCGTTCACATTTAGTTGTTAACACTCTAGCGGTCGCATTTTTGCCTCAATCATCATCAAACTTGGTCAGGCTGCTTATCTAGTTAATAGCTCGGATGAGTTCGAACATGGGTCATCTCGGATGAGAAACTAGGTCACAAGAGCTAAAAATAGAAAAACCTTATTAACACTCTAGAGGTCACATTTTTGCCTCAATCATCATCAAACTTGGTCAGGATGTTTGTCTAGATGATAGCTCGGATGAGTTCGAACATGGGTCATCTCGGATGAAAAAGTAGGTCACCGGAGCTAAAAATAGAAAAACCTTGTTAACACTCTAGCGGTCACATTTTTGCATCAATCATCATCAAACTTGGTCAGGATGCTTATCTAGTTGATAGCTCGGATGAGTTCGAACATGGGTCATCTCGGATGAAAAAGTAGGTCACCGGAGCTAAAAATAGAAAAACCTTGTTAACACTCTAGCGGTCCCATTTTTGCATCAATCATCATCAAACTTGGTCAGGATGCTTATCTAGTTGATAGCTCGGATGAGTTCAAACATGGGTTATCTCGGATGAAAAAGTAAGTCACTGGAGCTAAAAATAGAAAAACCTTGTTAACACTCTAGCGATCACATTTTTGCATCAATCATCATCAAACTTGGTCAAGATGCTTGTCTAGGTGATAGCTCAGATGATTTCGAACATGGGTCATCTCGGATGAAAAAGTAGGTCACCGGAGCTAAAAATAGAAAAACCTTGTTAACACTCTAGTGGTCACATTTTTGCATCAGTCATCATCAAACTTGGTCAAGATGCTTGTCTAGGTGAAAGCTGGGATGAGTTCGAACATGGGTCATTTCGGATGAAGAACTAGGTCACCAGAGCTAAAAATAGAAAAACCATGTTAACACTCTAGAGGTCACAATTTTGCCTCAATCATCATCAAACTTGGTCAGGATGTTTGTCTGAGTGATAGCTCGGATGAGTTCGAACATGGGTCATCTCGGATGAAAAACTAGGTCACAGGAGCTAAAAATAGAAAAACCTTGTTAACACTCTAGTGGTCACAATTTTGGCTCAATTGTCATCAAACTTGGTCAGGAAACTTGTCTATGTCATTGCTGGGAATAAATCGAACATGGGTCATCTCGGATGAAAAACTAGGAGCTAAAAATAGAAAAATCTTGTTAACACTCTAGTGGCTACTGTTGTGATCCAAATATTCTGTTAATTGGTCTGAAAGTTTGTTTTGATGATTTCTAAGTCAAAATCGAACATGGGTCATCTTGGATGAAAAACTAGGTCACACCGCCCAAATATGGAAAAACCTTGTTAACATTCTAGTGGTCACATTTTCGACTCAATTATCATCAAACTTGGTCAGGAAACTTGTCTATGTCATTGCTGGGAATAAATCGAACATGGGTCATCTCGGATGAAAAACTAGGTCACAGGAGCTAAAAATAGAAAAATCATGTTAACAGTCTAGTGGCTACTGTTGTGATCCAAATATTCTGTTAATTGGTCTGAAAGTTTGTTTTGATGATTTCTAAGTCAAAATCGAACATGGGTCATCTTGGATGAAAAACTAGGTCACACCGCCCAAATATGGAAAAACCTTGTTAACATTCTAGTGGTCACATTTTCGACTCAATTATCATCAAACTTGGTCAGGATGCTTGTCTAGGTAATTGCTTGGATGAGTTTTCGAAATCGCATGTGAAACTAGGTCACCGGAGCAAAAAATAGAGAAATCTTGTTAATACTCTAGTTGCTACTGTTTTGATCCAAGTATCCTGGAAATTGGTCTGAAAGTTTGTTTTGATGATTTCTAGGTCAAGTTTGAATATGTGTCACCTGGGTATAAAACTAGGTCGCACTGCTCAAATATGGATAATCCTTGTTAACACTGTAGTGGTCACATTTTTAACTCACCTGTCATGAGACTTGGTCAGAATACTTGTCTAGGTAATTGTTTGGATGAGTTTGATAAGTCAGGTGAGCGATCTAGGGCCATCATGACCCTCTTGTTTTTTTTTATTGCAAATTTATTTATTTGTTTTATTATGAAAGTATTTATATGTTGTACTTCATTATTTAATACTTGAAATTTAACTGACCACCAGATGGCCTGAAAATCTTAATACAGCAAAGTACAATGACAGGATATATGATTAACAGGAGAAGATTTTATCTGGTTTATCGTGTTTTCAGGAGTTTAAAAGCATTGTGGAACTACATGAAACGACAGGGTGTGAATACTTCAGCAGTTTGGGAGAATATGAAAGATCTCATAATTAAAACAATTATCAGGTATGTTTATTTTTTGAAATATGTTTATCACTTAATATTATAATAATAATAATATTTGCTAACGCCAAATATCTGGAGCTTTTAATTCACTATCTTTTCGACACCTGGAAATATCCACTTATACAGTAGTTTTTGAAAATTTCATAAAAAATGGATGCATTTCACCCTTGTTTATTGGGTTTTATTCAGAATTTGTTCAATAAGAATATAGAAGCATTTTTTTCACAAGTAGACTAGTAGTGGCTTGAAAATTTCATTTAAATGCTACATGTATATATGTATCTGAAAAATGGAAACATTTTTCCATTCTAAATTATGGCCCATTAGCATGACTAATCAAATTTAACACAGACAAGTAAGTTTGAAAATTACAAATGTAATCAAATTTTGTTGATATTGTTTCAGAATAGGGGCTTGGTTTGCTGCATCTTGTCTATATATTTTTATAGTGAAACACTACTGTCAAACCTGTGTTAAAAGACCACCTCTGAATAAAGATCACCCTGTATATAAAGGCCACACTGATAACCCTTCTTTGATAAGATAGAACAAAGTACTTTATCTATTTACAGGGTGTCCGTTAGACCCTTGAAATGACTCTTTGACCCTTCAAATTTCCAAAAGGCCTGATTTGACCCTCAGGATTATAACTGGAGGGTCAAATTTTGTTAAAATCATGGGGATTTGGCCTTGAAGTTGGTAAAACTTAATCAAAATGACCCTCAGGATTTCATGGCTAGTGATAAATATCCACTTATCTATATAAAGCCCATTTCGGTCTCTCCATTTGAAGACCTTTATTCACAGGTTTGACTGTATTTTTTTGTTTCCTAAAAAATTTGTGTCAAAAGTTTAGCATTTGTTTATCTAGTGAAATATTGTTGTAAATCACTTGAAATTACAGTGTGAAAAAGAATTATACTGTAAATAGACATACAGTGGAACCTGTCTAATCCGAACTCGTCTGGACCAGAAGAAAAGTTCGAATAAGAAAGGTTTCCGGATTTAAAAGGTTTTTTACATGTTTGTTCATGTTATTGGCAGAATAGTTTAAGGAAAGAAAACGGGAATGCATTTGAAATTGCAATATAAATATGTTATTTTTGCAGTCTCTTATTGTTCATTTTTATACATGTGTATACAGGAATAAATAAATAAATTAAAATAAATAAATAAGCAAAAATGTAAAAAGTAAAATTAGAAAAAAAAATTGAAAAAAGTTGTCCGAAATTCGGAGTAGACAGGTTCTGGATCCGAAAGGTTTTTACTATTGAAAATAGAACGAATAAAATCTGGACCGGACACTTCGTTCCAATAAGAAAGGATTCCGGATTAAAAGGGTTTGGATTAGCAAGGCTCCACTGTATTATCAGTTCTGTAGAGTTGGGGTGTCTTGCATACATGAAAAAAAATTGAGAAAAACACACACATATATATATATAAATATGTAATGTATAGACACTATTTGGATACTTCACATCAACACTTTCACATGTTATTCACTGTCATCGGGATATGTTAATGTTAACCCTACCCTGCGGAAACCAGAAGTGATTAGCCTTTGCACTGCCATGCAATCCAACTTTAAATTTTCATCTTGATATCCCCAAAACTGATAATGGACTGTTCTAAAAATAGAAACTGGACAGGTCCATTTCATTAATAATCAAGTTGTTTTAAGGGTTAAATATTATCAAAAATAACATTGTGACTAATCAAATAAGTCTTAACAATCACATATTTCAGATAAAAAAGTCATCAGTTCTTCGTTTGAAAAAATATGATGATTACTCAAGTTTTATTATTTTGATATTGAAACTTTACAACCTATAGCTAGACAAATTTATGATACAAATTTAACAAGGTAAAGTTATAAGATAAAAGATACAGAGCTATAAGATACAGATTTTCATGCTTTTTATGGGGGGATGGTTTTGATTGGGTGGGGGTGAGGTGTGGGAAGACTGACAAAACAGTGGAATATAGGGGAAGTTTTGTCATAATCAACACATTTCTTGTATTAAATTTCTAAATTGTTTTACAGTTCAGACGGACCGGTAAACAGTTTGATTAAGGCTAACTGCAAGAGCCGTTATTGTGTACATGAGCTGTTTGGCTTTGATATTCTTCTGGATGAAAGCTTGAAGCCATGGATTCTTGAAGTTAACATATCACCAAGGTTTGTTTTCTAGTTTACATACTTTTTTTTGTATACATACATTTCTAGTATACATAAACATTTCTAGTATACATACTTTTCTAGTATACATACAATATAGATTTTAGATGTCTGTGTTTACCTTTTTGCTGCCAGACCTGTAACTTTATATTTAAAATATAATTAAAAGCGTATTTGCCTTGAACAATTCTAAAAACTGCAGGAAAAAATTATTAAAGATGGATGCATATTTTTCATTGTATGTTTGTGATATCTGTAAAATTCATACTTTTATTGAAGAATTGAACAGGATTTAAATAAAAATGATTTTTTTTCCAAATCTCAATCCAAAATATGATGAAAATACAAGATAAAAAAAAATCAGTAGATCACATGAATGTCCTAATAGGGGTCTGTTTTGTTTGCAAAAAGATGGTACTTACTTTTTTCATGCTAAGTAATGGACTTTCAATCTTTGCAAAACCATTCCATCATTTTAGGGAAAATTTCAAAATATGCACTGACTGAATAACAAACAGTGCAGACCATGCACAGGTGGCAGGGAAGTGCCAATTGAGTTTGGTCTGCACTGGTTGCATAGGGAAAATCAGTAGCCATTGGCAGGGTTAGGGTAAATATACAAACAGATAATATATGTAATTTTTTATACCACTTTTTAAAACATGAAACATCATTAAAAATTTTGACCACATTTTTTTTATTCTTTACAGTTTACATTCCAACTCTCAGCTTGACATCAACATAAAAGGTCATATGATCAAGGACCTGTTTAACATTTCCGGTATACGTGTACCGGACAAACACGATCTAGTCCAACATCCGCCACAGACCAGCGGACCACCAGATCTCAGGTAAAAGGCGTTTATATATTGTAATAGGGCAATTCAGAGAAAACTGCTCAGAAAAAGTACGATATATATTGTATAGAGGCCTTGGATCTGAAAATTAAGGACATCATATATGAAGGGCCTTTAGGCAAATATATTGGAACTTTGGGTACTTAAGGTCTCGTGTAAAGAGCATAATGTGGTGGCAGATCTCGGGTTGAGGAAATAATATGTTGGTAACATGGGGGTTTCAGATCCCAGCCAAAAGTGCCTTGTATGTATCACTAAATAGGGGTTTTGATCTGAGAGAAAATGGACAGTATATATCAGTAAATTGGGGAGGGGAGGGGAGGGGAGGGGTTCAGATCTCCTGTTTAGGACATATTAATATATTGGTAACATCAGAGTTTCAGATTCTGGTCAAAGTACATAATATATTATTAACATGGGAGCTTCAGATCTGAGGTAAAGTGCAGTATTTGTAAATTTGGGTTTGTATTATAATACAGCTGTATTTTTATATAACATGGGTGTTTCAGGTCTCGGAAAAAATACATTATACTCATATATTGTCATAATATTGGTAATATGGGGGTTTCAAATTCGAGGTTAAGGGATGTTTATATCAGTAAATTGGGTGTTTCAGATTTCAGTAAAAAGCTATTTACATAATTATGTAACATTCAGGTTTCAGGTCATTATCTATTGCCATTATATTGGTAAAATAGGAGTTCCAGGTCCGAGATTAATGGCTGTATATATATCAGTAAATTGCATGTATCAGATGTCAATAAAAGAAGTGTATTACTATTTAACATTGGGGGTTTAGATCTCAGTATTTTGTTAACATAGGTATATTACTCACAAATTAAGGCATCATGTCAAAAGTTATATATAGGGGTTCTAGATCTCATGCTGATAAGGTTTTACAACCAGCATAAGTATCTGGCATTGGAAGGTAAAAACAGGTAGAAAAACACTAACATGCTCAAAGAAAAATCCCAAAAAATAATATACATGTAGATATTTCACTTAAAATACATAAAGCATAGTAAAATAGCCCTTCTCCAATAATTTGTCATGCAATTATTTTACTACAATAGCAAAGTGATTGAAGACCGTTTAGTTTTTTTGTAATCTACGCGTAGTTTGAATTTCATTTTGGCGCTTTTCCATTGTTTATTGATAATTTGATATTAAACAGCTGATCGGCTCGTGTAATACTTGTAATATTAATCAGGCTTTGTATTTGTATGGAACGAATACGTTGTAACTTAAATGACCCTGTTAATTTGCCGTAATCGTGCCGAAAGTTTATACAAGATATTTGATAAGATTAGAAAGCATTGGCATACTTCTTGCTTGAAAAAGCGTGTCTGTAAAGAGGTATTTTTAGCTCTTTAATTGAAAAGCTGTATATAGAAATTGTATATAGAAATTGATACAGAACAATGTTTCCGTGGCTTTGATTTTAGGATATACAATAATGAGGCAAGGTTGTAAATCAGTCTGTATATAATACACAAGGTTTAAAGGTCAAAAGGTGTAAAATGGCAGTTTATGGTCACAGTAAAGATCAAAAGATATCATTTACTTTAAAAGGTGTGTCATATTTCACTTACATGCGGTATGAGTGTAATATACATTTATGCAAAGAATAGTAATATAGTGTTGAAAAATTGCATTGAAATTTTCCATGTAATTTTGTATGATACTTTGGCTAAAGATATTTATGTATTTAATGCCAAATGTGTACTAGTCTTTGGTTATACTGGCACCTAACTCAGGGGCAGTGGTTGGGGATGGTGGGGTGGGGGGGTACCTTTTGTCTGTCCCAACATTGCTACATTTGTAGGTCAATGCAATGGTTTGATTTTAGGTAAAAACTTCAGGAGATATTTCCAACTCGCAGGCTGTGGCATAATATTATACCAGGGAATCGAAAATCCAGAATTCTAAGTGCCTAGAAATTTTTTATTCAGGTTCAGGAAAAAAAATTCTTGTATATCAGACTGGCGTTTCTGTTAGTTTTATCTATGATAGAAATGTCATCTGTCATTGTGGGTGCCAGATGAGTCACGTGCTATACAATGGCATGCTTATGAAGACGTAATTTTACCGTTATGAATGAAGTTGTAATTTCATATGCTGTTGTAAGAAAATAGTTATGGGTGTTATGACATAATTTTCCATGGGAAATGTTTTAGTAAGGTAAAGAATTTAAAATATGATGGAATTTTGTAGAATATACAAGAAAAAATACCTGACAAATGCTTGCGGTTGGTACCAGAATATCCGTCCCTCGGGAACCCGCCCTTGGATATGAATTTTGAGTTTTTCCTCTACAAGTATATTTATTAAGAGAATGATTTTCCCTTTAGAATAACAATGGACTGATCCAAATTAAAAAAACAGGGCAAAACCATTACAAATTTATAGGGATGAAGTTTTCATCAAAAGTTAATTGCATAGCTAAATGATGTTGCATGTTCATGAAAATTTTTTATCTTGTTTAGCCATGCAATTATTGGCATGCACATGGAAAAATCTTGTCACGATATTACCATGTGTCCACCATATATAAATCAATGAGGAAAAAAAATTACATCACTTGATTACATTTATATTACAACTCCGATCTTCTAAATGATAGAATCTTGCTGATTAAACAATTCAGTGTTTTTTTGGCAATCTATCCTGGCAATGTTCAGGTATTTAGCCAAGTAAACCATGCTCCATGATTGATAAATATCTCGTGACAAAATAAAGTCAAACAATAGAGTTTACAAGTTTTGTATAATTCTTAAGATAATCTGTGTTTTCAGCATTTTTTTTATTCACAATAATGTTTACAGCTAATTAACGTCAATAGAATTCATGTATGTAGCAATTAGTTTACTGTAGACTAAACAATACAGTTTCATGGCTTCTTTAATGTTTTTAGTGAGTAGTTTAAAAGGCATTAGCAGAAACTGGGTCCTATTGAGTTTGCCCTAAGGCTGGTTCCTCCTGTTGGGTTTGCCATAATTCCAGTTCCCTATTGGGTTTACCCTATGGCCAGTTCCTACTGGGTTTGCCCTAAGACTTGTTCCTATTGTGTTTTCCCTATGGCGAGTTCCTATTGGGTTTGCCCTAAGACTGGTTCCTATTGTGCTTTCCCTATGGCCAGTTCCTATTGGGTTTGCCCTAAGACTGGTTCCTATTGTGTTTTCCCTATGGCCAGTTTCTATTGGGTTTGCCCTAAAACTGGTTCCTATTGTGTTTTCCCTATGGCCAGTTCCTTTTGGGTTTGCCCTAAGACTGGTTCCTATTGTGTTTTCCCTATGGCCAGTTCCTATTGAGTTTGCCCTAAGACTGGTTCCTATTGTGTTTTTCCTATGGCCAGTTCCTTTTGGGTTTGCACTAAGACTGGTTCCTATTGTGTTTTCCCTAAGGCCAGTTCCTATTGGGTTTGCCCTAAGACTGGTTCCTATTGTGTTTTCCCTAAGGCCAGTTCCTATTGGGTATACCCTGAGATTGGTTCCTATTGAGTTTGACCTATGGCTGTTTCCTATTGGGTTAGCCCTAAGTTCATCTCCTATTGGATTTGATTTAATGCTGGTTCCCTAAGGCCTCCTGGCCCTTCATATTCCTTATAGCACATGGCACCTTTCTTATTTATTGACCTATCTCTTAGATATGAAGATTAGCATTGTTGTTATTTCAATGACCTACCAATAGATAAGGTTTCAAAATTGCTGAGGAGAGAATTAATAAGATAGACATACTTACCTTTGTATATAGGGTAAATGTGTAATGAAATGGAGTTGAAATTTAGACCTGAACAATGCTTGTGTGTCTAAAAACAAATGGGGGAAAAACACCACAGAAAAGAATAAATACCAAGTTTGGGATTTTAATTCTTACCCTGATGGAACCGAAAGTGTAAAGCCTTTGCCACAAGTATAGAGCCAGGCTGGCCTTTCCATACAGTCTGACCAGGCTGTACAAACTTCAAATTCTCATCTTCATATCCCTAAAAATTGATAATGGACAGTTCCAGGAGAGTCCATTTAAGAAAAATTTTGGCAGATTAAGGTTTAAGTTCTTTATGTCTTCTTTTAAAATTTGATCTTTCATTTGTAGTAGTAAATATAAGTTGTACTTTATACATGGATCATAAAATCCATATACTATACCATTATTAAATTCTAAAGGTGCAAATTGTCAAAATATTGACTTTGCGTGGTTACAACTGTAAGGTCATCTCAGGTCAAACTAAATGTAGGTCGTAGGTATCAGCTTACTATAATCAGTGTCTACGATCGCAGATTTAATAAAAAAGCTTTTGAATGGGACTTGTGACTCTTTGATATTGTCAGTCCAATTAAGTGGTGTTTAAAATAATTAGGGAGTCATTCGGGTAATCTATTATCGTAATATAATTATCGGTTTTGAAAATCTCAAGTTATATAATTGGCCATTAAGATATGCAGCAATTGAGATAGTGATCTTTATCTTTTCAACACTATGTTTTGGCTGATTTATTATATTGTGTTAGTAATATGTCTTATTAAGTTAATAATAGTTTACTTCAGTAAAAATTCTTATTGAAAAAAAACACAAAAAGTTAGCTTAAATGCATGCAAGAGCTTATAACCCTTACCATGTTATAATATTTGATTAGTTTTGAATTTATGACTGTCCTGGACTCATGTCTAGTCTGCATAAAAATTTAGGCTAGTCTGCAATATATATGTAGGCCAGTCTGCAATATAGAGCCAGGCCAGCCTGTAATAAAGAGACAGGTCAGCATGCAATATAGAGACAGGCCAGCCTGCAATATTTAGCCAGGCTAGCCTGCAATATAGAGCCAGGCCAGCCTGCAATATAGAGCCAGGCCAGCCTGTAATATAGAGACAGGCCAGCCTGCAATATAGAGACAGGCCAGCCTGCAATATAGAGACAGGCCAGCCTGCAATATAGAGACAGGCCAGCCTGCAATATAGAGACAGGCCAGCCTGCAATATAGAGACAGGCCAGCCTGTAATATAGAGCCAGGCCAGCCTGCAATATAGAGACAGGCTAGCCTGCAATATAGAACCAGGCCAGTCTGCAATATAGAGACAGGTAAGCCTGCAAGAGATACCTGCTGGTTGTTGTTGACAAAAGTTCTAGATCTTCATTAAAAGAAGACATTGTTTTGTACAACTTAATTTAATAATGCACAAAGCTCTAGCTCAATTTATATTGTAGATGTATACTTGGTACATTATAACTTTTATTATGTCATCTTTTTTCAGTATGTATGTCCCGCCAAACAATGTGTGCATGGATAAACGTTTGTTCAGTCAACAGTTATCACCTGACGAGAGGGCAAAACATGCTTATTACAGTCAGAGGCATCAAGATGAGGTAGGGGCAGATAATTTTTGACAGAGTTAAGCAACTTTACTGACTATACTATCAGTGATAGTTTGAAATTTTAGTTAACCTTCAATAACATTGTAACATAAAACTTACTGTGCACAGTGCTTTAGCTTGTAGTATAAATATGCCTTGCTTTTAAATTGTCCATTTCTAATATGAGGTGTTTTGATTTATCAAAATGTTCAAATTGAGCTGCTAAAAACTGGTATAAATCTTTATTTGTTGCATAGGGAAGTTATGATTGTTGCTATGATTTTCATTGCTAAAAGGTAGTAAGAAACAAATGACCATTTAATAGATTAAATGTCTGAGATCAATTGTCACAGATAAATTTCGCCTTGCCTAAGGCTAATTTCGCCTTGCCTAAGGCTCATTCCGCCTTGCCTAAGGCTAATTTTGCCTTGCCTAAGACTCCGCCTTGTCTAAGGCTCATTCCGCCTTGCCTAAGACTCCGCCTTGCCTAAGACTCCGCCTTGCCTAAGACTCCGCCTTGCCTAAGACTCCGCCGTGCCTAAGGCTCATTGCGCCTTGCCTAAGGCTCATTCTGCCTTGCCTAAGGCTCATTCTGCCTTGCCTAAGGCTCATTCTGCCTAGTCTAAGGCTCATTTCGCCTTGTCTAAGGCTCATTCCCCCTTGCCTAAGACTCAAACCAGCGTCCCTTAGATTACTTACCAGATTTTCTCCCTATTGAGCTAAGCAAGCAAATGAAATTTCAGTACATATCTAGTAAAGATTCAAATTTATTTTATTTATTTTACTCTAAATTACAGCAAGTTCAGCAGTCAATACTTGACATCCTGACGCCCGACGACATCCGGTTCCTGACTGAGAGTATTGACGAGGACGGTCGTAAAGGAGGGTTCCAGCGAGTGTTTCCCACGCCAACCACTCACAAATATCTGAAATATTTCGAAACTCCAAGATATTATAATCTTCTGCTAGACCAGTGGGTGCAAAGATTCAACCGAATGGAGCAAAGAGGTACTTAATTCATCTGTCATATTTCCCCCATTTACAAGTGCTTGGTTTTTCGTGCAGAATTCCAACTGTGCGCTTTAATTTGAGGCCCTAATGAAATAAAAGTTAAAAGTTTACTTTTAACATTTTCCAGTAATATGGTGTTAACATTGGGCCAAACCAAATGAAAAATGAAAAGAGAATTTAAAGAATGTTTTCTTCATATTTTATTTTTGTCTTTCTGTATTAAATGGCCACAAGAGCTCAAAGTGGAGAATATTGTATGGATCTTATACTGGCAATATGTAGCTTGAGAGTTACTGTTTATGGCAGTAATGAGGCTCTGCTGAGTGGTTTTCTTACATATTACATATAAATCATAATTCAGTAAGAAATTAAAAAAACTAATATTTTCTTCTTTAAGCATTTTTTTCTTCTAGTAGCATATGAATTTACAAATTCGTTCATAACGACAAAATGACATCATTTTAAGAACGCAATTCATTTATAAAAGGCGGTGGAAATAGCGAACAGTGTAGAATATGGTCAGACAGCATAGATGTGTCTACACATCTTGGTCTTCACTGGTCGCATGGGTAGAATCAGTAGCAGCTAGCAGGCTAAGGGTTAATATTTTCATAATTTTGTTATTTTGATCTCTTTATCAGGAATAGCATTACTTCAGTCATATTGTGAGGATGGTATTCATCTTGAAATTAATACAGACAGTCCAAATCATCAGGTAAGTGTAGGAGTCTGTACTTTTTGACATCTTGTCTGTTTCGAAGAAAAAGTCAAGGGGATATTTGTTGTTGGGGGAAAATAACTTTAATGAAGCCCTTACTCAAACACTTAAAGTTATCAATACAAAACTTAAAATACTTAAGAAGATTTTTGGTAGTTTTCGTATAGACATATAGGCAGGATTAAAACTGTTCGATGGAATTTGGCATGTTAGAATATGATGACAGAAATATTTGGCCAAAAGTTGAGTGTCACCTATCTCACTTTTGGGTTATCTGCCCTTTAAGTGCATAACAGTCATAATATTTAAAAAAAAAAAATAGTGGCTGTGGCCCGTATCTGATGTGTTTGTTATCACAGATGAGTGTTTGCACTGCATGGGCTGTTCTAAGGTGTTCTAATTTTTGAGTTACAGAGACACTGCATAGGTTGCCTATAGAGATATTCCAGTTTTATTGGTGTAGATAAAAACCTCACATTCCCCTTTTGTGCATTATTTCAGGCACAAGCAGGCAATTTTATATAACCACCAATCTAGTGGTTCAAATTTTCCACTAGACTTGCTCGAGAATTTGCCAGAAAATATTTGTACTTTTACTTTTGATATAGAATTTTTTATTGATATTTTGTCTTAAAAATGTCATTTTGTCTTAAAAATGTCATACTAATTGCGTAGAAAAACAAATATTGACTTTTTGTTTTTGGTAATACTGGTACAAAAAAAAATGTTTTAGAATTATTGTACATTTAGAATTGTTTTATTGCAGTGGAACCCACCTAGTGCAACATGTCATACATTCCGGGAGAATCGTCTTCTTAGTGCGCCATTGTCTAAACACAAGGAAATGGAAACCTTGAAAACTAGGTAAATACAATGCTTTAGTAAAACTATACAGTACATGTAGTTTGTAAAAATATGGTACAAGATATAGAAAATATGGTAATATTGTTAAATATGATAATTTTGTGAAAAATGATATAAAGGTCTTAGAATACAGTATGTTGGTAAATGCAGTACAGATTTTTGAGACCCAGAAATGGGTTGTGTTTTTTTAAGGGGCGAAAAAATTATTAAATATGATAATTTTGAAAGAAAAAAAAATGAAAAAGATCTTAGATTTTGAGACCCAGAAATGAGTTGTATTTTTTTTTTTTTTTTTTTTTTGTTGTGGTGCAAGTAAAGGGGTAGAAACAATGTCAATATTAGTCAATGAATACGGGTTAAGTTTGTTTTTATAAAATGAAAAACACAAAAAAAATTATATTTCTTTTTTATATAGAAAGGAACACTCTAGGAATTGCATTACATATAGGGAGGACACTGATACAGTGTAGGTAACAGTTGGGTGATATCTGTTACAGTTTCTGTTACAGTTACTTTGTTATTGTTAAGACTGTTAAAGTTGGGAGTTTATACATGTACAAGCAGAAGGTGTATTTATTATTTAGATGGCAGTAGACAATGATCCAGAAATTTCAGAAATAAATACCAAATTATATTTTTCATTGTGACAATATGTGGACCAACAGCTGAGAGATAACCAAAATGTTTAAATTGACTCAAAACCAACAAACCAAACAGTTAGAAACCATGTTAGATTATGGCTTTTAAGATATGACTGTGTAATATGAATGATATATTGTTGACATTAGGTTTAAACAGCAATATGACCACATGAATCCGACGGTTATAAGTCTACCTGCGATTGAGAAACGAATCTAGTAAGCACATTGTATTTTCTTGAAGCTATGGACAGGGTAGCAGCTTTTAAAACTTTCGTACCCCTTTATCATGTATACAGTGCCTAGGCTGATCGTAAGGTTGCGTTCTCATACAACCTTGTCATATCTTGCTTACTAGAATCAAAAGGTTAAGGTCATTTGAATAAAAACGCTTCATTTTAAAAAAAAACAAAAAACAGGTCGAGTATGTTTCTTAAAGCTACGGACAGGATTGCAGCTTTAACTTTTGTCTCCCCTTTTTCATGTAAGCAGTGCTTAAGTTAATATTCTGTCATCTGGATTACTGGAATCAAAAGGTTAAGGTCGTTTCAATTAAACGCTTCAGTTTTATTTGTCTGTTGGATTTTTCTTATATTCTCTTAAAAGCTTCGATGCTTTTCTTCAGGGTTTAGAGACTTTTTATGTTTGTTTATCTTTTTGTTTGGAACCGGTTTTGCATGAAGTATATACTAGTCTGAAAAAAATAGGGTAGACCTTTATTTATGGTGAAAGGGTAGCTTAATGCATGGTTTACGAGAAAATTGAGAATATTTCTTTACTCTGAATGGTATAATTTTGAATATTCATGAGGATATATGAAGAGAATAATAAAATATTATAATAATTTGATAGTTTGATATGAAATGGTCATATTTTCTTGTTTATAACCCAAGTTTCAGTCATGTGGCATTGAGTCCACCAGTGATGTTACAATGTGTAATTTTATATTGATTTGGAATATATTTGTTTTTATCATTTTTGTCTAGGCGTCAGAAAAGCTTTGATATATACTTAATTCTGTAAGGTAGGGGTCATATTGTAAACATTGCATGTGTTACTGTCAGTGTAAGTAAGGTGGTTAAATGTAAATCAGTTTTTAGTTATGATTGATTTTTTCATTGTGTTAAAGATGTTTTACATACTTTCCTTTGATTATGTAAGATTTATTTTTTTGTGCAGTTTCATTATTTAGTTACTCAACGTATTCTTTTTCAATGTGCATAATTGTATCTATAATCATATAAAGCCCCTCTTCAGGGATCGAAAAATATTTTCAGAGTTCTGCAGCAGCTTCTAAATCTAATGTGAAGACAACATTTTTCTATTTGTCCTGAATCAAATTCTCTTAAATTCTACTTGTAATTACGAGCGGACAAGTGGAATTTTTTTATCTCTGCTCTTTTTTTTCCAATGAAATAAATGAATGTTTCAGACCCAAATGTTTAAATGATTGTGTTCCTATTACCAAAAAATTGAAATATTTTTATTGAACGTTTTTCCCAAAGTAAGAAAAAGATTAAAAAACCCAATTTTTACCATAATAGAAATGTATGGAAAACTACATTGTTGTCCCTGGAATTTAAAGCGTCAGAGAATTATCTTGATAATTTCAATGTTTTGAATTTTTGAGCATAATTGGATTGAAAATATGCATTGTGTATAAATTCCTAAGTATAAGACATTTTAATGAAAAAAATTAACTATCTTAACTTTACAGAGGAAAACTCATAATATGTAAATCATCGCCACAAAAATTTGGTTACACCACACCAAATTTAGAGGACATGTTACCAGCTATGTCCGTGCAAAGACCGAGGTCTTGCCTACCGAGGTCTTGCCTACCGCGGCCGGTTTCGAGAAACAATAAAAGAAACACACAAATGATCTTGTATAGGCGGAGAATCATGCTTCTGTCGAGGGTAACAAAAGTCGATTCTTGGCATGTATTACAATATTGCTGAGAACACGACATTGTCTTTTATTATCTGTAAAAAAAAGGGGGTATAAAGCTATATTTGTGTCAGCCGCGGAATATTTGTTTTCATTATGGTAAAAGAATCTTATGAAAGTAACTAGATTTTCGGAATAATTTTTTGTCAATTTGAATTCAAAATGGATTACGCATGCAATAAAACATGACTGAATCTGCTGAAAATGCAGTAAAATTATAATTTAACCCTGGACAGCTTTGAAATTGGGAAAGTTCATTCCAAGTTATAGAGATTTCAATTACAAGATACAAAACTTGAGTTTACCAACATTTATAGAGCCTGTTTTCCAGGCTGTCTGACTTAACTGGTGACAAAAACTAATCACTTTTGGTTTTAGCAAGTTGAAGAAACATTTTATTCAGACTTTTTGCCTGTTTTAACTTAAGAAATTACCATTTAATTTACAAAATCTTCTTTTTTTCCTCATTTTTGGGTGGTGGTGGTGGTCTTGTTTAGTTTTTGAATTTTTTACAGTATTTTGTGCCAGTTACAGCTTTATACCCTTCATCTCCTGCATGTTTAATATTCAAGGCTTCCAAAGTTATTTCATATTCAACAAATAATTGAGTCTGTTGCCTAGTTTTGGGGCGGATATGATTTCACACTTAGGTGTCCAATCCAAAGATTCAGCAGTTAAAATTGAATATCTAGGCATCTGATTGATAAAATGTGAATGATAACAATAGAGGGTGAATGCACCTTATTTCATGCATCAACATCTTCAGGAGCCCTGGGATGCATTTAAAGCCTAGGCTAGAAGGTCCGAGGGCTTCTGCAGATGTTAATGCAGAAAGAAAGGTGCAATATTGCTATTCTTGCATATGTGTCTAAATTGATAATTCCTCGTTTTGTTATCTGTATTTGGCATGTTTTTAATATGTGTATCTCAGCATTTTGTAAGAATCGTTTACTGATAAACAGGATGAACATTTTCAGGCATCATGATTTATAAAATGTATCAGAATTTACGACAGAACAAGTTTTTCCTTTTAAATAAGCATTTGCCCCCATTATATTTTACTGGCACAAATAATTACGGGTTTGTCTCCCCTCCTGTGACACATGTTTCTGTATGTTTGTTCCTTCCATAGGCCTGTGCCATTTTGCCCGAGTTTAAAGTCGACTGGGTCAATTTCATTTAGGATAAATTAATGATAGATATTCCATAGCCTTGCCTTGGTTCATAGGGCTGTTCTAAGCGTTGTTAAATTGACTGTGCCATATCCAAGTGTAAAGGGTCAGTGAACAGGTAAAAATCAAAGTTTCTTGACAATTTGCCATAATTGTGTTCAATTTTACATTTTACTATGAAAAAAAAAATCAATAATCTACACGACCGACAGAAATTTCTAAAAATATTGTTAAGAATATAATTATCGTTAACATTCAAATCTTAAAAAGGGCGGAGCAGTCTTTTTATAATGTATGTTGATTTTTGTATTGTATCAAAAAAAATTTTCATTATTAATTATTGGTCAATCGCCATTATGATAGATAATCTGTAGAAAAATAAAACTATTTCAACTCACATAACACGAAAACAGCGGAAAAAACAAGCATACTGTCACTTTTAAACAGCACCAACAAACATCCGTGGGGGGGCTACAGATGTTTTCATTTTACGAATTTCTTTAATAGTTTCATCCTGTTTACAGTATATAATTTCGTTGGCTAGTCAGCATCTCGAGACTTTTGCAAGCATGATACTCTGTTTGTATAAGCATGTCAAAAAGTTGCATGAGTTTTTCTTGTTCAAAGAAATTATACATTGGTTCGAAAGAATATATATATTTTTTGAGTGTAAATCAGTACATGTGTAGTTCTTCTTGACCCCATTGAACGAAACCTTAGAGAAGTTTCTTTAATGCTGTTGTTAATAAATTTTAAATAAACTGATTGTAAAAAAATTTCTTTGACCTTTTTTTCTCCCTAAACATCATCTTAAGAATGCTTTCCCGCCAAAAAATCTAACATCTGTCAATATTGAAGAAAAATCGTTATTTCCAGAACATTTTTTTTTTCAAAACCTTGGGCATTAGATTATTTATAATCATTCATCCTTATCGCTATGTACTAAATTCCGATTGTAAACAGTTAAAAAATATTAAATACTGAAGATTGTGAAAAATAACGCCCCGGAAATGACCGATTTATTACGATATTGGCTGATGTAAGAATTCTTTTGGCGGGAAAGCATTACAGTAACACTACCTAAACAGACAATGATGAAAATACTTGAAATTACACAAAATCGAGTTTTTACATGTTAAAACATGGTCTTACACATAATTTTGAAGAAAAATTGTTTTTTTGTAGATTTTTTTTTCCATTAAACGGGCTTATCAATACTTTTGTTAACCTTTATAGAGCAGGAGACACTGACTAATTACCAAAAAATTAAAACCAAATCAGGTAACCATGGTTGAATAAACCTAAATATATGCTTTCACTGTCAAGTTTTTGTTGTTGTTTTTTTGCTTTTCTATGATATATTTTATAGCCGTGTATATACCTTGATGTGTAACTTTTTTTCTCTCCCCCTCTTATACATGTACATCAGTCTATCTTTTATTTCCTCTAGAGGACGTTCAGTCCCCATTTGGTATCTGTCTGCGGGTCCGTTGTGACTGGCAGAATGTTGCTCGAGTCGTGAGTTCTTTGAACGTGGCTCTTCTTTGTTGGTCCTAACTTTCATACTTTATTTGGTCCTTACTTTCATACTTTATTGTAATTAAACACCTTATGACTTGATCTGTTTACCTATCAGGCAATGGTAAATCTTAACTCTCTCTTTTATAGAGATAGATACATCCCATGTATTGAAAATATACAATTTGTATACATGTATAAAATTTAAGGGCATTATATCAATATTAATGCAGCTCTTGAACAAGTCACTATTTTGTTTCATTAAGCTTCCATGATCAATATTTTTTTCTAAACTCATTTTTTTCTGCGAGATTGATTCTCGCCATTTTACTGAATCTTTCCTTCTACCACTGATAATTCATGATATTAGGCCTACATGCTGTTTTATTTATGGCCACAATGTGAAATTGAATGAATATAGGTTCACATATTACTGAATTTAATGAAAAAATTGAAAAGAATTATATTATGTGAATGAGTTCAATAAATTTAGGAATGAAACTTCTTGAATGTAATATTCTTTTCCAATATCAGAACTGTTTATGGTTAAAAAAGGAGTACTTTTACAGATTCACAACCTCCAATGGTTTTAGGTTAACAATGCTTTTCGAAAAAGTGGAACTATTCTGTTTGGTTCTTATTACATTGTTGTTGAATTTTTAGATTTATATACTTTGGGAAAACTTCGGAAAAAAAGAGAGAAAGTTAGTATTAGTCATTTATGAGCAATACCTTTGATTCTGAGCATACTGCCCCTTTACTCAATCCTTTCTGTAGAGCTGAACAAACTGCCTCTCATTGGTCTATGCTAAGTCACATGTTTTGTGCTATTTATATATATCTATATATATCCTCAAATCTCATTGGTCTCTGTGTGTAAAAAAATTATGTTATTTATAGATCTGATCAGTGTATACTGTCTTTCCATTGGACAATGCTCCTTCAGATGTTTTTTTTTTTTTTACTATTTGTTACCTTTGTTAGCTTTTGCAAAAATTTAATACATAGAATCCCTACACTTTTAAGTGGGCATTCATTTCAAAGTATTGTAATGCATTGCATTGTATTGCATGCCTTTTCATTAAAGCAAACATAATTTATTCTATGCATAGAAGAATAAGTGATATAAAAAGAGATTGTGAGCCCAACATAAATTTCTTTATACTCTTAATTTGTGGAAAATTTTTCATGCATATTTTGGCTTTGCTCTTTTCCATCTGTTTTCTCTTTGTTAACATGTACATGTTGTAAACTTAGTGAGTATTGGGTATACTCCTTATATAATTTAATGGGAGTTAACCCATTACTGCATTAAGTTGACAATGTAGTGCTCATAATTATGTGTCTTATAAATGAAGCCTCATGTAAACACAGCAAACTGTTCTGCACAAAAAATTTACGTTTAAGCTTTTGCAGAATTGTTCAGTAATAATTTAAATGGTTAAATAAGCCATTAGCAATTTAAGTTTGGTTTTTTAAAAACCATGGACACTTAAAAGTATGGATTTTCATAAAAAATGTATAGTTTCAGTATGGTTTTTAGCTCGACTATTCGCAGAATAATCGAGCTAATGCAGTCACCCATTTGTCGGCGTCGGCGTCCCTGTGGTTAAGTTTTTGTATGTAAGCTGGTATCTCCATAACTACTGAAGGGAATGGATTGAAACTTCACACACTTGTTCTCTGTGATTATCTTAGATGATTGGCACAAGTCCCATAACTCTGATTTGCTTTTTTTCATAATTATGCCCCTTTTTCGACTTAGAAATTCTTGGTTAAGTTTTTGTATGTAAGCTGGTATCTCCATAACTACTGAAGGGAATGGATTGAAACTTCACACACTTGTTCTCTGTGATTATCTAAGATGATTGGCACAAGTCCCATAACTCTGATTTGCTTTTTTTTTATAATTATGCCCCTTTTTCGACTTAGAAATTCTTGGTTAAGTTTTTGTATGTAAGCTGGTATCTCCATAACTACTGAAGGGAATGGATTGAAACTTCACACACTTGTTCTCTGTGATTATCTAAGATGATTGGCACAAGTCCCATAACTCTGATATGCTTTTTTACATAATTATGCCCCTTTTTCGACTTAGAAATTCTTGGTTAAGTTTTTGTATGTAAGCTGGTATCTCCATAACTACTGAAGGGAATGGATTGAAACTTCACACACTTGGTCTCTGTGATTATCTTAGATGATTGGTACAAGTCCCATAACTCTGATTTGCTTTTTTGCATAATTATGCCCCTTTTTCGACTCATGAATTCTTGGTTAAG